GTCTGGCACCATCACATTTAGCAGATTACATTGAATATCATAGATTCAGGGAATCTAATTGTTATTGTCAAATTGTTCCAAAAGTTAATTCTGTGCAGGATGCTACATGCACACAGACCCACACGTTTCCCAGAGCATAACTTGTCAGAATTTTTTCCACTTGGTAGTTGTGTTAAGCTGAAAGTCTGTAGAGAGTGTTCCAAACATTCAATATAAGAAGACCTTTTTGGAGAAATTTTAATGTTGTAATATCACATACTTTACAGCAGCAAAATAGGTTGGACTTGTCCTGCAACTGGCATTCAGTTAATTTCAGATTGCAACAGATTTTTGTTTGCCGGAGTTTGTAGTTTTGATTGACATGATGCTCCTCAAACTTAGCAGAATCTACAGATGGCGATGTGTTTACTGCCGACTGCTTCATCTTGCAGTGTGACCAATCCAGCTTCTGTCAGTGATTGGTTGAGTGTTCCGTTGTCCCTTGGCTTCAGAAATAAAACACACAATGCATCACCTTGATGAGATGCTTGTTTTTCCGCATCACTCAAAGCAGGTTGATTTATGCATCCATGGTACAGTCCCTGAAAAGCCAAAGAAAGCTGGTTACACCATAGGCTGATGAAAAACCAAACCAGTCTAAGCACGCATGCACACCTGAATTGCACAAGGACTGATCAAACCCACATCAGGAAGGAAAGTGAAAGAACGTTACTGTCACCAACCCTACCCAGTGTTGAACATATTGACATGGCCGTCTTGTCATGAGTGACCAATCTAAAACTCCCTCTCCTGTTGTCTGAATTTCCATTTGTAATTGTTGCAGGATTCCCAAGCCATTTGTGGTTTCATCCAGCTCTGTAAACTCCAAGGTACAGAACCAAAAGAACAGCAAGAAATCCCTCTCCAGGAAAAGTAAGTCTTTTCACCAAAAAGAACGATTCATGTCTCCAGTGTTAAGATTCCATTGCACTGGCTTTTTATAGGGTTGGTACATGTAAGATTTTAGTCACTAAAATCACCAAAACTGTCCTAGAATATGCAGTTTCATGCTTTTTGACTTTCGCGGCTGCCTGAAAAAAGTTTAGGGTCTGTTACACAGCTTGGCAATTGTGATTAAGAGGTGAGGATTCAAATTAACATCCGAATGGCTTGTTCAGGTGGTGCAATGGCATGGCATTCTGCTGCAGTTTATTGAGTTAACCCTTTAAGAAACTTTTTTCCATTCTCTCCCGTAAGGCTCCAGTGTAGTTCTGGACAGTAGCACCTCCAACGTGCCCAAGCTCCGCCCACTCTCGACTGTCTCTTTCTGGGGTCATGGGGTCATCACCCCTGTCAGACTCCCCCTCCCCCACAGCGACACCCAGATAGTTCAGGTTGCCACCGGCCGCACTCAGAAGGTGGCTGTCACAAAGAACGGACGACTTATCATCTGGGAGGTGAGCACCTCTCATTGATGCTGTTCACAGTTTGCCTCAACAGTGAAATTTGAAATCTTTGTGCAAATAGTTGCTATTTGGTATCAGTTGTATACAAACACAGCAAGGGGAAGTAGTGGGAATTACTGGTTCCTCGGTGTAGGTCAGTTTGACTACCTCCCGTTGCAAGGAACCAGTGATTCCCACTATTTTCCCGCAGTAAACCATCCTGTATTTGTTTCACTACACTTCATAAATATTCAAACAGAAATCTCACGTTACTTGTACTCACAGACGCCATTGTTGTTTCTCAGCTGCTAAATTTCCATGTAATGATAGTGGAGTGCAGACACATGCAGCTAGGTATGAGACGGAGAGAACCCCCCCCTGC